AGCTCCGCTTACACTATCTCTGTAACCTGTTGTTAATATATCTTTCTTACATTAATCCGTATTCCGTGTTTTCCTTCTGTGGTCCCGACTTTGGCCCCACATCAGATTATTTTAACCCGACGTTTAAGCACATATTGTTCTTTAACCTTTTCCATGAAAATTTAGTGCCCGGGCATGGTTGTAAATGTGAGCTTATTACTATTATTATTATTATTATTTGTGATAATATCAGCAGCAACAACAACAAAAATAATAATAACAACAACAACAACAACAACAACAATTGCCGAGTACTGGAGTACTCGTCGACATTTCTTCCTATGAGTCCTATGTTGGATCTGAAGAGACCTCCACAACCACCATATGGTAAGCTAGGAGGATTCAGGGAATGGAGAGTTCAGGCTTTTCTTCAGGATCTCTTCTATTTGACTTCTGGTGTTTTCGAAAGATGTTGCTTTTTTGTGAACTGCTCTTCAAATGGTTCTTTCTGCAGCTTCCGTCTCCCAACTGACCGCATCGATTTCTATCCTCAGCAAATTGTTTTGAAGCTAGTCCTAGAACTGACGACGTGGGGCTCTACGTGGTCCTCTTGCCAAATGCAAGAAAAGGATTTGTCATGATGGTTTCTAGGCTCTCAATCTTTGCGCGGAGGAGAACTTCGTTGTTCGTGATCCGGTCCTGATACGTGTTTCGCAGGATTTGACGAAGCTTCATTTGATGGAATGTTTCAAGTTTGTGGATGTCTTTTCCGTAGAGTACCCAGGTCTCACAGATGTACAAGAGAGTCGAGATTACTACAGCTCGGTAGACCATGAACTTGGTGGTTTGTCTTAGCCCGGAATTGCCGAAGACTCTTTTGAATAGCTTCCCGTATGCTACGTGGGCGGCCTTGATCTTATGGACGTCTTTTTCAGCGGATGCATTTGATGTTAGTACGCTACCAAGGTATGGAAATTGTTCAGCATTATCCATATCGAGTCCGTTGATAGTGATTTTGACTCCAGGTGGTCACAAAAACAATAACAGTAATAGTAGTAGTAGTACTTGTATGTGCCATGTTTCTTCAGGACGTAGGCGATCGTGGTTTTCTACTTTCTGGCTCTTAGAAAGTTTTTTTTTTGTTATCTCTCCTAATCCCTGTTCTCCTAAGCATTTACACAAGCTCGGAAGGTAGGTTATTCGCTGCCTTCCTCTGTCTCTTTTGCCTTCAATATGTTTTGTGAGTGTCATATTCTCCAAGCCCTCTTTCCTCATTATGTTCCCGAGAAGTTTCATTTGTCGCATTCTGATTCTAAGTACTGGTGTTTTCTTTTTCTTTCAATTATCCTTAAAACTTCCTCGTTGCTCACGTGTTCATTCCATTGTTTTCTCAGCATCCTTCTGTAGAACCACATTTTTGTTGTCTCAAGTCCCTTTCATCTGTGAGGAGATTGTCCAATATTCTCTGCAGTATAGGAGGACTGATTGTAATAAAGTAATCGGGAGTAATCTCCCTTGGTTTATGATTACCTCCCTTCGGAGAACTCTTTCTTTTGTAGAGGACTATAAATAGTCATTACGCTTGAATCAATTATTCTTTTTTTTTATTTATTTTTTTTTTATTTTTTTAAGCATTTCACCCCTTGCAAGGCAGGAAGCCAGTAGCACGCAAGGGGTTATAGAAGATTTGGAGCGAGAGCAGGTAGGAATGATAGAGGAAAGGACGAGGAGAAGGATAGTGGATAGATCAAGGCAACTGGAGATGTCGATTGACATTACATTTGAAAAGTTGGAGGTTATAGCTATCAGGGAAACAGGAATAGGGAAGGGAGTTCCACAGGCGAGAGGTGCGAGATATGAAGCTATTGGAGTAGAAGAGGCGGCTAGATTTAACAGTTTCAACAGTGAAAGGGTGAGAGCGGGATGCCAGCCTCGTAGGACGCTTGAATTCGCGAAGTCTGGGAACCAGCGAAAGCAGCTCATTTGAGCAATTACCATGAAAGCATTTGTAAAAAAGACAGAGAGAGGCGACGGTGCGTCTGTGAGAGAGCGACTGCAGACGAGATGCCAGATCGGTGCCAATTATATTGCATATCCGTCTCTGGATTTTATCAAGAAGCAGAATAAAGCTTCCTTAAGCTTACTCTTACTCTCTTTTGTTATTATGCCAGTTATACCCTAAAATTTATTACGCCAGTTATACCCTAAAATTTCATCTTTTTCATCTCCTTTAATATGAGAGAACGAAAAAAGAACTATTGTCCAATCAGTGAAGCATGACAGCGAATACATCAATTTAACATCTATTGTTCTCATCTTTGTCGCCATATTTATTCCAACGTTTCGGCCGTTGTACGCTTCGGCCGTTGTACGCTTCGGCCTTCTTCAGGTGGTTGGAATGTCGAACTGAACCCTTTATTTCGCTTACAGGGGTAGTCTGTTCTACTTCCACGTGCCATATTTAATGGATGTCAGTTATCAGTTATCTCCTGTTAATTCCCTTCTCCAAGTTCTCCACTGCCTTAACCAGGTATTGAACTCACACTTTTTGGGTCTTGTCACTGGATCTAACTAACGCCCCGTGCCATGTGTCCTCGAGGACATCTGTATATGAATTTCTGGGTATTATAAACCTAATGTCTTCAGCAACCTATTTTTTTTACCAGTGCTCATACTGCAATTTTTGCTGATATCATTGCATGTTTTATAGCAGGACCTCATATAGCAACTTTTGTTGTTAATATCACTTTTCTCTGGCACTCCTTATAACTGGTTCCCATATTGTATTCATTTCTACGCTTGGTCGGCTCAGGAGATTTTTGTGGCCTAGCATATGTGCTGATTCCTTAAGTTTACGAATTTTTCCAATGGTGTTCTTTGTCTATGATCTCAACTTGATCCTACAGAGGGCGGTGATCTCCCTTTTCTCTCCATGCCTGATTTTTCCACTTCCCCGAAATAAGGTAAATAGTGTACATAATATCTCATCTCAGAAATATAGACAGATACTCAGTTTAATAGAAAAAAAAATAGTAATAGATTTTAATAGAAGAAAACTCCAGTAATAGATTTTAATAGTAAAAATAACAAGCAATATATTTTAATAGTTAAAAAAAAAGTACCAAAGCTCCCAAGAAAATAAAATTTCGGCATTAAATGACCCATGAAGAGTTGATATGTCGTTAAACAAACAAATCAAACCAACCCAAATTCCATTCTCTTTGAGTGCATTGTATCTTTTTTTAACGCTGTCAGTATACATTTCTTTGCAATGCGATTTATTCAGGAATTTTTCCCATTGCTGTTGGTGGGCTGCCTTAGCCTTCTTCAATTTCCGTAACAAAGGTCGCATGGAAAGTAATCACCCCTGCAGTCAGCACTTGGATATGTTTTACAGTGTAAAACTGAATCTCTTATTGATCGTCATGTACTCGATTCAAGGCAGTAAATCCACGAAGACACAAGGGGTTACTTGGTGTGGAAGAAGAATTAAAAAACACTAACATTACTAAAGAGCAAGAAAAAAGGAAAAGTAATCAGGAGGACAGTAGATAGTGATTGACATTGCATTTAAATTTTTGAAGACTAAAGTTGGCTGGAAATCATGCAGTCAGAAGGGAGACTATCCCACAAGCGAGAAATGCGAGAGAAGAAACTGTTAGCATAGAACTTACGGTTGCATCTAGCCAACTCAATTGTAAATTGATTCCCAATCTAGTACCGCGCTTAAATTCATAAAGTCTAGGCACCATAGTGAGGAGCTCATCTGAATAATTACCATGAAAGTATTTATAGAAAAGGCATAGAGAGGCAACTTTACGGCGGTGAGAAAATGACTGAAGCCGAGACGCCAGGTCAGGACCAATAATATTGCTGATTCATCTTCGGATTTTATGAAGAATTTCTAAATATATAGCAGGAGCACCGGACCATATTTGACAGCAATATTCTAAGCATGGATTAATGGTAGAGTTATAGATATGTAAGATAGATTCTGGCGATAAAAATTGTTTAGTACGACGCAGTGGATCAACATTCATAGCACTAAACGTAGCAGTTGATTCAATATAATCTTTCCACTTCATGTCAGTGGAAAACGTTGGTCCAAGAAAGCAGAACGAGTCACTCTATTGGAGTTTAGCATCAGCCATATCTTCCATGAATATTCTGTTGATAGTCCTGCATAATTTTGGTGGATTATGCTGTAAGTGGTTATTCTGAATTTGAAATTAAAAAAAAAATTATCATTTGACTTAAGTTGCGGTCCATTTAATTTGTAAATGATTCTAAATTTAACATTTTTTAAATATATTGTTTTGTAGACTGTAGCTTGGCATGCTTATAACATATTTCAAGTTTTCATCACCACCACCATCTACGTCGTGTCTACTCAGGACGTTGGAAATAACAGCTCTTAACAACTTCCTATCCTTTGTAGCCTCGAGTCTCTTCTTCATCTTTGAGGAAATCGTCCAGCATTCGCTGCCGTAAACAAGAACAGATGTCACGTGACAATTCAGTATTCTTTTCTTTATTACCAAAGATATCCTCCTGTCTCGCAGTACTCTACCCAGCTTTTGGAATGTGTCCTTGGCCATCCCAATACGTCTACGGATCTCAGTGTCGCACTTACCGTTCTCTGTCAAGACGCTTCCCAGGTATTTAAAATTCCGCGTCCTTTTTAGGTTCTACTTGCTTTTGTAAATTTTATTTTGTATTATTTTTCTAAGTAGCTGAATAATACTTTTAATGTTGTCATAAGTGTTAAATTTTCGTAATGTTTATCTTTTTGTACAATTCGTTATATAATGATAACAATCTAAACATGCTCACAGAGAATATCAGATATTGTAAAAAGTTAAAACTATTTATGGCTTTTTTTTCTTTTTCACCTGAAGATGATAAAATGGAAGGAAGATTAAATGGAGAACGCAATGTCGCATGTGGCTGTCTGTCGAGGGAAAATGGAGATGGGTAATTTTATCGTAAACTCTGTTGCTTACCGCTACATGTGTTAAATTTCAGTTCGGTGAAAAAGAGTACAAATAATGGCGAGATAGGCATCGGGAAGTGATGGGTAAGATAATGAAAAACAAACGGCGATGATATAAATGATGATGATGATGATGGTGATGAGAAGAAGAAGAAGAAGAAGAAGAAGAAGATACGGAAAAAATTGAAGGAGAAGGAAAATGAAGAAAAAGAAGATATGAAGTAAAGTTGAAGGAGGAGGAGGAAAAGACTAAGAAGAAGAACGTGAGAAAAAGATATAAGGAAAAGAAAAAAAACAAGAAGAAGCTATAGAGAAAAGTTAAAGGAGGAGAAAGATAAGAAAAAGAAGAGATGGAAGAAAGTCGAAGGACGAAGAAAATAATAATAATAAGATGATGATAGAGAAAAGTTGAAGGAGGAGGAAGATAAGAAGAAAAAGAAGGAGATATGTAGGAAAGTCGAAGGAGAAAGAAAATAAGAAGAGAAAGGAGACGAGGTGGAGAAAAGTTGATGGAAGAGGAAAAGAAGAAGAAGAAGAGATGCAGGAAAGTTGAAGGGAGAGGAAAATAATAATAAGAAGAGATGGAGGAAAGTTGAAGTAGGAGGAAGATAATAATAATAAGAAGATATGGGAGAAAGTTGAAGAAGAAAGATAATGTAGAAGAAGAAGAAGAAGAAGAAGAAGAAGAAGTAAAACGTGAGAAAAAAGATATGGGAAAGTTGAAGAAGGAGTAGGAGTAGGAGGCTAAAAATAGATGTAAAACGTGATATAAAAAGGAACGTTGAAAAATAAAAAAGAAGAAAAAAGTGAAAAAGAAGAAAAAGAAGAGGAAGGAAGACCAGAAGAGAAAGTTAAATGTCTTTAGTGAAAAAAAAGTTGGAAGGATAAGAGAGCAAGAATAAAAAAAAAAAAAGAAAAAAAAGAAGAAAGCGAGAAGTTATAGAAAACAGAAGAGGAAGATAAAAATTCAGAAATATATTAAGAAGAAGAAAAAGAAGACGAAGAGATGGGAGAGGTAAAAGAAAGTAGAAGAGGAATGCTGATGAGGAAGGAAGACCTGAAGAGAAATTCAAATATATGTAGAGAGAAAAAGGTTCAAGGATAAGAAAAAAAGTTGAAGGTAGACCTAAAGCGAGTTAGAGAAGAAGTAGAAAAAAATGAGAAGAATGAAGAGAAATGGCGGAAGAACTAAGACAGATTGAACGCCCCCCCCACCAAATAAAATAAAATAAAACATACAAAAATATAATAATAAAAAAAGAAAAGAAAGAAGAATGCATCGTTTTGGTAGTTTTCTTCCTGCCTCTGATGTCAGGTACTTTCAGCTTCATATCACTTACACACAAATTATCGTCTGCTTGGCAAACATTTGCACCAGATACAACAATAGCAGTAACAAAACCGAAAACAAATGCAGTAAAAAAAATGAAAAAAAAAAACCCAAAAAACAAAACAAGAAGAAATGACAGCAGTGGTATTTTGCATTGCTGTTTCGTACCAACATTCTCTTATCAACCATCGTCACAACTCACACACATTTTGAGTCGTTCAAGTTAGCCATTTTTTTTTTGGCCTTTCTTTAAAACCGAGTTAATTCCGGCGGAAGAAAATTATTTCTTGTTAGAGTTTTATATTGTTTTCATTACAGTCGAAACAGTGAACTTAGTGCACTTTAAAAGCCTAAGGTTTCAATCTTTTCTTTTTTGTCAAAATTGTATATTTTAATCGAGTATTGTTCTGACTTTTGAGTAATTTTTTAAATTGAGTATTTTTGAGTATATTTCATGGAGGATCATTTGGTTTATCCATTTTATTTTATTTTTTTATAGAAAGTAATCTGAATGCACTCGAACTATTGTAGACCAACTGCAAAATATACGCAAATAGGGAAAATAATGACAATTACTATGTCTGCTAGCACTCAAATAAGTCAAATTGTTCTCTTTCTTGACTTTGTAGCCAAATTGGCGACTGCAAATAGAAACATAGGCTTTGGATCTGCAATTCTGCCAGTGCACTATATTAGATTTTATGCAAGTCAATTTTTAAACAATAAAATTGGTATCAATTAACTGACGCTGGCAAATTTCCCAGACTATACATATATTGAGCAATATATCATGCGAATTTCAGTCTATTGGGTTGGTTCATAATTATCAGGTGTTTTTCTAGGCGAGTTATTTGTTAATAAAAATTGCTGTTTTGTTTACTTTTTTTAAATAAAAATATTATTTTACTTTCAGGTTATAAAAATACGTGTCGATAATCATACGCTCCGCAATAATCATTTAAAAATGTTATTGTTGAATTGTTTCTTTTTTCATAATAAATATTATTTAAAAAACGCCTGATAATTATGCACCAACCCAATATTTAAAAATATCGATGATAACATGTTTTGGAGATCTTATTACCCTATATACTCGTGTATAGTACGATCATGCCTCTCCGCAATTTCCTATTCTTTCTAGCACTTAGTAAAATTTGTCTTTTTTTACTATCTCTCCTAATTCCTGTTCTCCCATTCATTTAAACAAGCTCTTTAGGTAGGTTATACGTTGCTTTCCTCTGTCCCTCTTAATCTGTCCTGTGAGTATCAAATTTTCCAAGCCTTCTTTTCTTATTATGTACCCGAGAAATTTGAAAAACAAGGTGGATAAAAGAAATAAAGATTTATTGCAAAAACAAGTACAATAAGAATAAAGGTGACAATTATGCACAAGGTCGTCGCAAGTTAATCCAGTAGTGAGTGCTACTATTGGAAGGTCGGTAGTTCTTGCGTAAGTCTGAGTCGTACTCAACAAATCACCGCTAATAATTTTATAAAATTTTTTTTTGTTTAACAAAGACGAATTCAATCTAGGGCAATCCGAGACCGAAGGCTTGGCCCAAAATTCCCCGTAAACCCCGCATAAACGGGTTCGGGTCTGTCTACCTCTCCGAACGAGACTCTGCCCGAAGGCATAGCCTCGTCCGAGTTCCTCTCTGCCCGAAAGCAGAGAGATCGACAACAGCTGAGAGCTGAGTAACAGATCCCAGCTAGTCAATATTTACTAGTCCCCCCCTCCCCTGAGGGTAGATGTGGCACAAGGCCGAGTTTAACGAGGGTCTTCCTAGCCCGTAGGCTCGGCCAAAAATATTCCCTTCGAACCCGTATGAACGGGTTCAGGGTTAGTCTGCCTCCCCGAACGAGACTCTGTCCTCCGGCAGAGCCTCGTCCGGGTTCCTCTCTGCCCGAAAACAGATAGTTCGACTGTATAACCGAAAAAGATTTCAGCTAGTATATTTAGCTACTCCCACCCACGAGGGCTGCATGTGGCACAAGGCCAGGTTTAACGTGGGTTCTCCGAGCCCGTAGGCTCGGCCAAAACTATTCCTTTTCGAAACCGTATAAACGAGTTCAGAGTCTGTCTACCTCCCCGAACGAGACTCTGCCCTCTCGCGGAGCCTCGTCCGGGTTCTCCTCTGCACGAAGGCAGAGTTCGACTGTTTAGCTGGAACAGATCGCAGCTAGTCTCTGTAGTCCGTTGACTTACGGATACTTATAGGTAGTTACTATCTATAGTGTAGTCACTCAAAGGGGTGACAGGTTATTCCCTTACATCAGCATAAATGTCCTTTTTGTTTCCCTTTTCTCTAAGATTTTTCTCATTGTTTATATATTCAGTCCATGGTATTCTCAGTATCCTTCTGTAGAACCACATTTCTGTTTCCTTAAGTCTTTTCTTCACCTATGAGGAGATTGTCCATATAGTATACTGTTATATGATAGAGTCGTTATTACACAGAAGTTCAGTATCCTTTTCTTAGTTTCTAATGAAATTGTTTCCTGTTTCTTAATACTTTGATTAGCTTTTGGAAGGCATCTTTAGTTATTCCAATCCTCTTCAAATTATTCATACTAGCGATTGCCACCTGTTCACGTCTGATGATAATGGATGTTTCGTTTTGGAATTATGTTGCTAACATTTCTGAGCAAGTGATGTTTGCTCCGTTGCCATGGTTACCAAACGAGCAGCTATTGAATTCATTCTTCAATTTAAAATAATTATTTTAATGGGGTAATAACGATGAATTTTCACATTTTGTTTTAGATACTTAATATTCTTATCAACGATAGTTTGTAAAGTGACTAAAAGTTCAGCTTATCAGTGTAGCAACAGAGAAAACAATGTAATGATGTTACCAGTATAAATATATCCTTTTAAATTTATCATTTCACCATAAAGCAAAAAAATAAACCCACTAAGACGATATATTAATATTAGTGATTTTCCAAGCGTAGTTTAGACGTGGCACAAGGCTGAAAGTAAGGGCATGCCAATGAGGATCGAAATTACTACTCAGTCGTAATTGGTCTATAGACACAAGAAAATTTGCTAACCATTACGCCACATCGAAGTGCCCAAGGAGTTTTAATTACTGGATATGGAAGAATTATAAAACAGAAACATTACTAAGGCGCGAGAACAAAAGAAAGAGGACAGTAGATAGCGATTGGCATTGCATTTAAATTTTTGAAGATTAAGGGTAACTGGAAAGCATGGAGCCGGAAGGGAGCTAGATCAACACGCGAGAACTCTTAGCATAGAATTTATGGCTTGTAGTGTGGTTAAATTCAAACGGTCGAGGTACCATCCAGACAAGTAGTTATAGAAAAGACTAAGGGAGACGACTTTACATCGGACATTGTATTTTTAAATATTTTTAATGTAGTGTTCGCCATGTACAGGGTGAATTTATAAAGGCACGTTTCGGCTATAGAAACCTTTTTTTTTAGTAGGACTTCTCAATGAAGACCAGATTAAAAAAATCAAGATCAGACTCAAAAAAACAAAACAAAAAAAAAACAACAGGGATAGCAATTCAAATACGTCTACCCACTAAAAATATAGTTTATAGTAATAAGGATAAAGAATATATATATCTATATATATCAGCAGGCAGAGATATTTCTCCTCCCGATGATGGCCATTTTGGTCGAAACTGGTCGAGGAATCTAAATGAAATAATAATAAAAAAATGAAAGAATATATATATATATATATATATATATATATATATATATATATACCGGGTGTAGCAGCAAAATTGTCCAAATCGTGTAACAACAAAATTGTCTAATTCTTAGTTAAAGCTTTCAACCATTGTATCTTAGAAATGATTAAAGATATCATACTGGAATTTTTCGAGGTTTTTATAACGCTATTGGACTATATTTTGAGCAATAAGAATGTATAACTACTCTCTAAGCTTAACAGAAGAATCGTAGGAAAATCGATCATGTTATTCCAGGTTAATTTTTCAACTTATTTAAGATGATTTTCGCCCTCTCTAACCTTTAAACTTTCTGTCCTAGAGTAACAATGTGTCTCACAGGTTTCACGTATAATTTTATTTTCAAGTGTTTTTTCACTTCTCTTGAGAATGTCATTGGTGAAACTCCCCTCTCACATGTCAAATGTCTTATGGATTGAGTTGGATCTTTTCTAATTGATTTCTTTAGTTCTAAGTTGAAATGATGATCCCTCTTCTTGCTGTGACCTCCTGGTCCAATTTTCCTGTCTACTGTTCCCTCTTTGTTAAATTTATTCACCGTTCTCTTGATGGTTCTTGAATTAACTTTAAAGATGGGAGCCAGAGTATGGATGTTAGTACAATTACTGAAGGCCTGAATGATTTTTTCCTCTCATTAATTGAGAAGACCGTGAGACTGACACAAAACGATTTTAACCTGCTCTCTTTCTAGCTAAATAACTTAAAGGGTTTTCCGTGATTCTTATGACAAATTGTGTCAAGCTGGCTAAACGTCTTATCTGAAAACCTGGAAAAAAGAAATTCAATTATTTTTTTTTTTAGATATTAAACATTTCGTGGGATGGACAATTTTGCTGTTATATCCGGTATATATCTCCCTGGTGGGCCAAATGATAACACACACCCACAGCGATGCACACGCTTACACAGATCATACTCACTCTTTAATGGGAGCCAGGTGGCACACACACAAACACTAAATAGGGACACATCCCCTCGCCAGATCCAGTGGGACGGTCAGACTGACCAGAGGATTCAGAGCAGCATGTATCTATCCAGCTCTTATCTCAAATGGCAACTTAAAAGAGACTGTTTGACCAACACAAGGAATGTTAAAAGATTCATGTTAAAAAGATAAAAAAATAAAAAAAAACAAATGAAAACTATAGACAAAAGTTCATTTTCTCCAGCAAGACATTCATTTCTGTAGTTTACTGCTACCAGCAGGCAGAGATATTTCTCTTCCCGATGATGGCCATTTTGGTCGAAACTCGTCGAGGAATCTAAATGAAATAATAATAAAACAAAACGAAAGAATATTAATCTACAACCCAGTGTGTCTGAAGATTTTAATTTTTTAATATTTTTTATTGTTCAAAATATATATATATATATATATATATATATGTATGTGTATATATAAGTCAATACTGTAGGCTCCTAGTGGATCATAGGGCCTCAGTCTCACCACGCTAAGGCCATAGCCTCACCACGATATTGCCACAGCATCAACACGCTAGTGCCACAATCTAATCACGGTAAATTTTGATTTGTGTAGCAATTTTTTCACAGGCCGGATGGATAGTCCAACGCCCAACCGGTTTTAGATTCAGTTGTTCTTTTAGGCTGGTTACCAACAAAGGCTAGAGAACTGTCTTGCACTGCTGTAAACCCTTGGCTGGGCAGAGCGTAGGGTACTTGCGTAGAGTATTTGCGCGGAAGTAAACGTAATGGCTTGCGCACAATTCGCACATCGACACCAATTTCAGCAAGTATAACCAACGCGCGCATACAGCAAAACATAAAATAACTTAGAAATGACTGGCATACTTGTATATGCTCGTTTAGACATGAGTATGAGTGTATATGTAAGAGAGCGTTGAGAGGAAGAGACGAATTATTGTTATACGCGTACATTATTTACGTTATTCGGACTATTGTCCTCATCTT